GGAGGATGGAGCTGTCCCCAGAATAAGTTAGACCTGTCCAAGTTGCAACAGTATTCCCAAATTGCTTTATGCAGTAGGTGTTACTTGGATGCTGTAACTGGCTTTACAGCATCATATAGTGTGTGAGGTGTGTCCGAGCTTGCATTGAAGTTCTCTGGTTATGGCTCTTCCCACAGATGTAATGCTTGTTAAGGAGGAACCCCTTCAGTACTGTGTAAAAGCAAACATGAAGCAGGTGTAAGGGCCTTCTGTGACTTTTATTCAGAAATAGAATTGCGAACAATAAAAAGTTTTATTGATGTCACCACAAGCAAGACTACTTGTTTTATTTTGACTGTAGTTACGTTCTTAAAGTATTCATGCAAACTAATGAAATATGGAGAAGCTGTTTCAGAGCTCACTAGTTCTTAGATTGGTAGATGCTGGACACTTGTGCATTTGGATTTCAGATATTCTAGTGTAATGCAGAAGGCAAAATATTGGATGATGGTACTGTAAATCAGAAATTTTGTTTAGGGAGGCATTCCATACTGTGTGTGTAAAGCAAGTTTTTATATTGTATACTGTGAGTAACTGTTCTCTGATGATGAAATGACTGAGAGATTTCATGAAAATACTTAAGGTCCATAACATTATCTAAGAACTTCTTTGAAGTCTTCTCACAGAAAAATAACAAAATCCGTTTGTGTTCTCTATATGTAAATTCTTTTTAATTTATTACTTGATTCAGATAAGGTTGTGGATTAATATTTGTTAATCTTTGTTAGGCCTCAGTTAAACTCAGTCTTGCAATAAAGAATAAAGATCTGCAAGTTGTCTATTTAACTGCTTAAGCCCTCTCAAGATTGCAGTGATTACCATTGCACAATAAATACAATTTTTCAAAATATACTTGAATAAATAGGTGGGATTTTTAAGCAGAAAAAGTCAGTCTTATCTGGAAACTCTTCCTTCTGGGGTTTGTTGAAAGTATCTTGAAAATATATGTTACATTTCTGGAGGAAGATCATTGGGCAACTTCAGAGGCTATTACATACCAGTTACTGAATTTTTCAACTCAAGTCAGCATTCTTTTCACTCTTAAATCATCATAGAGTGGTTTGGGTTGAAGGGACCTTAGAGGTGATCTGATTCCACCCCACACGCACCATGGGCAGGGACAGCTTCCACTAGACCAGGTTGCTTCAAGCCCCGTCTAACCTGGCCTTGAACACAGCCAGGGATGGGGCAGCCACAGCTTCTCTGGGAAACCTGTGCCAGTGTCTCAC